CCTGGACCTCGCGGACAGTCCCAGCAGAAGAGCTTAACCCGTGGGCTAAGGTACTGTTGGTATTTGGCAGGGGTGAATTAGAGTCTCTTATAGGTACTGACTGAAAGCAAACTTTGGGAAAATAAAAGTCACCGGTGGGATTCGAACCCACGATATGACGATCTGATAACCACGATCTTAACCCTTTGGCAATTTCAGAGAATTGCTTCGAGTTGTTCATATTTACGTAGATAAGAAAACCGTTATTAACCAAGTTATACCGCACAGAATTTTGCTCTGCAAAGACTGAGCGATCAAAACGCTACAATAGTACATCATGTAGCAAAAATGCACAATTGGCCTGCACACAAATCTCACTGGCATCTCTTCCTTGACAAATTTGAATTAATGCGCGCGCATCAATATGGCAAAGTCCCCGGACTGTGAGTCCGTCCCGACACGTCTCAACTCTTAAAGGTTGCACTACACCAAAATACGCGCCCATAAGGGTGCTCTGCCCAATTCAGGGAGAATTCTTCGCCAAGCCGAGGCGCTGAAAAAGTATCCCTAGAGTTTATTTGAAAAAGATGAGATTGTGTGGCCCAAGAAATTGTAGGATTGTGGACGAATGGTCCAGAATGAACTCTCCACATTCAAGGGCACCCATCCCAGGGCCAAGCACAGCAAAATGCTACTGACAAATTGTTCCAATAGACTCAAAAGGTGGAGGGATGTCATTTGAAAAATGGCTGCTGATGACAGACTTGGTAGCGTTCACTTTTTTAAGGGGGGGATGAGTTTGTTTTTGGTGGATAATTAGAAATTTCATTGGTTAAGTAACCTACTTAAAATTAAAAATCAATAGAAAGCTGAATGACCCAAGAACACTCTGCTTTTTTGTTTTGTTTTGTTATTTTTTAAGTTGCCGCTGGGGGGGTGTAAGAGGCCCGAAGAACTTTGGTTGCCTGCACCGGGGCTGCAAACGTGGTCGATTTTACCTTGTCTTCAAATGGGCTTCCTTTAGTTCAGTGCACGCATAGACAGCCGTGAAAAATCAGAGCGAAATAGCGCAGCCTGTTGACTCCCGGAGGAGGTTTGTCTCCGGTTTTTTGCCAGAAATTCAAGATTTTGGCCAGTAGATCACTTTTTGTTTCAATTTATGGGTTTTAGTCACGATTTTTTTTTATTTGCCTTTTCCCAAAGATATATCGAAAATAGTAAAACTGTTCGCCCAGCTCTCATTGTCTTTCCAAATAGGCCCTCCATTTTGGGCTTTTTGTAAAAGAAATAACCCGAACTGGAAACTACCAGTACAAAATTCGGGATTTATAAAACGTTTCTGTGATCCCCCCTGATTATGGCATGTTTCAGATTTCATCAACTAATATAAAGATAACAGAAAACATATCAAAATAGTTAAGTTAAATCAAACACTAGAGTCAACTTGTTATTAAATTGCTCTCTTGGTTGTGAAAACTGGGTTTCCACAGAAAACTTTATTTCCCGGAAAACTACATTTTATGACTTTTCCAGGATTTTTTTCAGGAATAAGAAGTTTAAAAAATGCATGACCAAGATGTATATAGGAAACCCTAAAACATTTATCTGAGTAATCTGTACCTGAAGATGAAATGTTTTCAAGGTTTACTGCAGTTCCATCTTGCAGCAAGGCGATCAGGTTGAAACAAGTGATGGACATAAAGGCACCATTCTAACATTTTTTCTCTCAAAAACTGTACTGCTTCCTTTGACACTTTTGTGACAGTGATTTTTTGTGGCTTGCCTGCGGTTTTCTGTAACAAAGATGTATGATATTTGTTGGCTGTAATGCTACCCGTGTTAAATTGTAAAATATTCAAAGGTAGAAATCTGTGATTTATGAAGACGGGACGACTTTTCAAATATCTTTCTAGGGTTTTATGGCATTTCATTACATCAACAGGTAACAATTTTTTACATGTACCACAGAAAACGTGCCTGCCGCAAATATTCCGATTTACTAATCCTTCCTAATTGGGTTTTTCTTTCAGAAACATGTACAGTGCATTTACAAGGAAATAAAAAATTTGTTATTCATTTATCAATTCTTTTTAAAAATACCGGTATCTTTTGGAAATACACACTAATTTTTAAATCATGTTTCTTTCGGATATACCGGTAGACCAACAACTGAATGTTAAAATGGAACATGAGCATGTTACTTACGTCTCTGATGATACTCTTCATAGGGAGGTACTGGATGTCTTACGTTACGTTCATCCACCCAGATACCACGCCCAGTATATCCAATAAAACTCACTAGGTATGACCATTCGTCATCTTTGACTACTTTAGCTGCACACCATCTTCCCAACTAATGGAATACCTGGACGCAACTTCCAACTGAGAATTTTCCTGTCATTTTGTCTTCTTTAGTAACTGAACATTTTGAGAACTGCACCAAGACTGTAAAATGAAGGATGATGAAGATGAAGAAATCACCTTAACCTTGCCATTATATGGCAGCCAATATACTCTTGGAGACTCCACCATGAAAGGAAAAAAAGGCCACAGAATATTCATTTTAACCGATGACACAATTATCTCATTGCTATTCCGTTTGCAAATGATTGTTATTTAGTTATAAATTGCTTTTTATACGTGCACCAAACATTTCATTTAGATTTTAAATGTATGTGACTATGAACTCTAAATTCTTATTTTTTGGTTTTCATATCACTACGCAGCATCAAGCCAGTGATCAATCCAGCAATGAATGACCAAAGCCAGCGAAGGATGACACAAATCTGTCATTCACTTTATACCAAGGACTGGTATGTTTAGCAGAGATGAAAAGCATAGGACTACTGGTTAATCACGACAAGGGGGCAATAAAGCGTAAAAAGTGTCAACTGGGGAAAGCTGTCATTTCAGAATGGATGTTTTCTTTCCGAGTCAGAGAGGTCTAACTTGGATTCGTTTAAATGGGAGAAATTCGTAATGTTTCGGGTCCAACAGACCCCGACGAGAGATGCTCTTGCGAGCTAGGGTGCCTCACCGACGCGTTCACGGATGGGGCCGAGTCGGTTTTTGCGCCCGAGTCGAAGCGTAACTGTAAGATGCCGCTCTCGGTCTGGAAGCCATGGTTCATCTGTTCCGAACAGCCGAACAGTCGGCATTGGGACCGACTTGGCAACTCCCCGAGAGCCCTCCTGCGGGGTACACTAGTAACCCTGGATTTCAAGTCAGTTTGGGGCGGCTGCATCAGACATGCAGCCCAGCAGCCAATCCTCGGCCACCGGGGAAGCGCTCGTTCACTCCGCCGTCAGTTCCAGCATGCCCTCCTCCAGCTGCACCCGCTCCTCCGTGGAGTCCCGCCGGGCCTGCCGCTGGTTCTTCCCCGGTCTCCTCCTCCAAGGCGGGTCCGCCCAAGGGCCACTGGGTGGCGCCGGCTGGCCCTCCGCGCTCGACCTCCTCTCCCCGCTGCTCGACCCCACCACCCCCGCCTCCCCGTGTGGCGGCGCCCCTCTCCCAGAAGTCGCTCCCGCGGCGGCAATGCTGCCTCCTCTGCGGCACGTCGTCCGACCCGGCCCACCAGGATAGGCCCGTCTGCGGTGCGGGCAAATCTTTCGGATCGAAAGGTTTAGTTTCAGCAGATCGCAGCGAAGCGGCTGCTCTACTCAGCACGACACCCCGATCCATACCCAAGTCGTCTGCAAGTGGGGTCCCTCTCGAGACGGTGGTTCGGCTTCCGCCGGAGCTTCCGGCAGCGACCTCTCATCAGTAGGGTAAAACTAACCTGTCTCTCGACGGTCTAAACCCAGCTCACGTTGCCTATTGGGCTGGTGAACAATCCAACGCTTGGCGATTTCTGCTTCGCAATGATAGGAAGAGCTGGCATCGAAGGATAAAAAAGCAACGCCGCTATGAACGCTTGGCTGCCACAAGCCAGTTATCCCAGTTGTAACTTTTCTGACACCTCTTGCTTCAAACTCCGAAGCTCAAAAGGATCGATAGGCCACGCTTTCACGATCCGTATTCATACTGAAAATCAAAATCAAAAGAGCTTTTGCCCTTTTGCTCCGCGCCAGGTTTCCGTCCTCGCTTAGCTCGCCTTAGGACACCTGCGTTACCCTTTGACAGATGTACCGCCCCAGTCAAACTCCCCGCCTGAGGCCGGCAGCCGGAGCGGGTTGCGGCTGGCGGCTGGCGGCTGGCGGCCTGCGGCCGGCGGCGTTGCGAGGCGGCTAGCCGCGTAGCGCCAGAAGACTGGGCCCGCGCGGGGCCCGCTCCCCACCTCACCGGCTAAGTAAAGAAACGACAAGAGTAATGGTATTTCACCGTCGCGCCGGTGCCCTTCCACCTATCCAACACCCCCATGTCTCTTCACAAGGTCAGACTAGAGTCAAGCTCGACAGGGTCTTCTTTCCCCACTGATTCTGCCAAGCCCGATCCCTTGGCTGTGGTTTCGCTTGATAGATAGGGACAGTGGGAATCTCGTTAATCCATTCATGCGCGTCACTAATTAGATGACGGGGCATTTGGCTACCTTACCCGCACTTCGCTGAATTTCTTCACTTTGAAATTCAGAGCACTGGGCAGAAATCACATTGCGTCAGCGCCCCGGCTGCGGACGTTGCGATGCTCTGTTTTAATTAGACAGTCGGAGGGGGGCCCGTGCGCGGACGGCCCCGCGGCCCGGCGGGGGGAGCTCCGCTGCCCAGATACGGCGCGCCCGGCCCGCGCCGGGGCGCTGCGACCTGCTTCCTGCCCCAGCCCGACCAACCCAGCCCTCAGAGCCAATCCTTCTCCCGAAGTTACGGATTCGGCTTGCCGACTTCCTTACCTTCATTGTTCTATCGACCAGAGGCTGTTCACTTTGGAGACCGGCTGTGGTTTTGGGTACGACCCAAGCCGACGGTCCACGCACTCCCCTGCATTTTCAAGGGCCGGCTGGAGCTCGCCGGGCGCCGCCAGAGACACGGCACTCTACGGGGCCGCAGCCCCTAGCTCCAAACCAGCCGATTCCAGAGACCCCCCCCCCCTTAGCAAGAAAAGAAAACTCCTGGGGCCCCGGCTGGCGTCTGTGGGCTCGCTTGCTTCGCAGCTCGGACCGCCGAGAAGGACGGAGGGCTCCGCCTGCGGGTTTGGGAATATTGACCCGATTCCGCCTCCGCTCGGAACGAAATTTCCCTGGGGCTTAGGATCGACTGACCCATGTACAACAGCTGTTCACATGGAAGCCTTCTCCGCCACTCGGCCCTCGACGATCTCACTCAAATATTTGCTACCACCACTAAGATCTGCACCCGCGGCGGCTCCACGCGGCCTCGCGGCCGGCGCTTCGACCTGCACCGCGGCGGCCCTCCTACCCGTCGGGGCGTACCACCCAGGCGGCGGTCCCACTTGCTCTCTGCCCCGACGGCCAGGTGTGGGTGGCACGCTCAGCGCCATCCATTTTCAGGGCTAGTTGATTCGGCAAGTGAGTTGTTACATACTCTGACTATAATGGCCACCGTCCTGCTGCCTGTACCAACCACACCTTTTCTGGGATCTGATGAGCGTCGGCCGCAATGCGGCGCCTTAACCATGCAGGTTCATCCCGCAGCGCCAGTCCTGCTTACCAAGAATGGCCCACTGGACGCCCGTGCATTGAGGGCCCGGCCCCGCACCAATTTAAGTTTGAGAATAGGTTGAGGTCGTTTCAGCCCCAAGGCTTCTAATCATTCGCTTTACCGGATGCAACTGCTCTCTCTCTCTTCCGGACGCCAGCTATCCTGAGGGAAACTTCGGAGGGAACCAGCCACTAGACGGTTGAATTAGTCTTTCGCCCCTATACCCAAGTCGGACGATCGATTTCAACGTCAGAATCGCTGCAGACCTCCGCCAGAGTTTCCTCTGGCTTGGTCCTGCTCGGGCATAGTTCACCATCTTTCGGGTCGTAGCGCGCCCGCTCTTCCTCCGCCGCAGTCGCAGGGGGCTGGCGGCAGGGCTGTGGTGGCGCACGTGCGGGCGCGGCCCATCGTCCCTTTCTCAGCCTGGCAGCTGGCGGGATCACGGCCGGTCTCTAGGCTCTCTGACCGGTCCTCCCGCCGGAGGAACCCCAATCGGCCGGCCTCTGCCGGCCCGGATGCCCTGTCGGTCGCGGGCCGCGCCCAGGAGAATTGCACGCGGCCGGGCGCAGAGGCGCCCCTGGGCCCTGCCACCGGCGAAGGGGGTGCGGGGCCGCGGCGGGCACCGCGCCGGCCTCGCTGAATCTCCTCGGCCCTCCCGTTTGCTTCTCGACGGCTTCACTTACTCTTGAACTCTCTCTTCAGAGTGCTTTTCAACTTTCCCTTACGGTACTTGTGCTGTATCGGTCTTTTGTCGGTATTTAGGCTTGGATGGAGTTAACCACCCGTCTTTGGGCTTCGCTAAAAAACAGCACGACTCCCGGAAGCCATGGTCGCCGGCTGGACGGCGCCTGCAGTGGCTTGACACCCGCCGCGGGACGGAAGGGTCCTCCATTACAAGGACCTTGGTGCCGCCGCTACTGCCGGACCGGACTTTCCTACGCCACAGTTCCAGTGAGCCCGCTGGGGGCCCGGGGATTCGGCGCTGGACTATTCCCGCTTCGCTCGCCGTTACTGGGAAATCCTGGTTAGTTTCTTTTCCTCCGCTTAGTAATATGCTTAAATCCAGCAGGTCCTCTCGCCCGACCTGAGGTCGATGGGTTCGCAATAGGCCTCGCCCTCGTCTCTCTCTCTCTCTCTCTCTCTCCTCCTGGGGGCCAACCCGGCGCTTCTGTGGCTGCCAGGAAGGGGGCCCCCCTCAGCGGCCCGTCCGCGCGGACTTTCTTTTCTCTCTTGGCGCTCGGCGCCCGCTCCCTTTCCAGCGGTCCACGCCGAGATCTGCCACAGGGCCGGCGGCTTTCGGTCCCTGCTGGCGGGGGGACGACTGGCGATCGTGGGTGGGGTGGATACTCAGCACCCACCTGCCACGCCACGGCGGACTCCCCCGGGGAGTGACCCAGACTCCGCCCAGCAGCTGCCGGCCGGCGCTCTCGCGCTACGGCCCCTCCCGGGCGCAGCGATTGCAAAGCTCAATGCAACCCTCAGGCGGACGAGGCCCGGGCTGTTGGGGGGCCCGGGCCGCCATATGCGTTCGAAATGCCGATGATCACAGCGTTATGCAATTCACACTGATTCTCGCAGTTCGCTGCGTTCTTCATCAGCGCACGAGCCGAGTGATCCACCGCCAAGAATTGCCTATCGTTTGGGGGTTTGGCTCTGTCCATCACCTCTGATAACTGCACCGATGGCCCAGGCGCGGAGCATCCAGGTCTTTTGGAAACCGATATAAAAAAAAAGTAAAAAAAAAAAAAAACACTGACGGGAGCCAAGCCGAGCGGGGACCGGTCGCCTCTCGCGGGGCGGCCCCCTTGGCCGCTCTGACCGCGTCTCACCGATCACCCCAGTCCATTAAAGGCCGAGCCCCGGCGTCCTGAGGCCCCGGCAAGCGCCGGGAGTCCTGCGCCAACTCTGCACGGGCTTCGGCGCACTTCGGCGTGGGCCACTCCCGCCTAAACCGGAAGACAGCACAGTAGCCGGCCTCTCTGCCTCGGCGGACGGAAGGGGGCCGGCTGGGCACGCTCTCTCTGCTCGGTAATGATCCTTCCGCAGGTTCACCTACGGAAACCCTGTTACGACTTTTACTTCCTCTAAATCATCAAGTTCGATCGTCTTCAGGGCGCACAAGTGAGGCGCCTGGGGGCCCCGCCGCGGCCCGCCCGAGGATCTCACTGAACCATTCAATCGGTAGTAGCCACGGCCGGTGTGTGCAAAGGGCAGGGACGTAATCAACGCGAGCTGATGACTCGCCCTTACTGGGAATTCCTCGTTCAAGGGAGACAGTTGCAACTCCCTATCCCAAGCACGAATGAGGCTCAACGGATTGCCCAGACATTCCGGCCAATGGCAGCTACCTGCCGATCCCTTCAGTGTAGCGTGCATGCGGCCCCGAACATCTAAGGGCATCACAGACCTGTTATTGCTCAATCTCGCGTGGCTGAACGCCACTTGTCCCTCTAAGAAGTCAGCGTCCGGCGCGGCGGCCGGCGCGACTATTTAGCAAGCCAGAGTCTCGTTCTTTATCGGAATTAACCAGACAAACCGCTCCACCAACTAAGAACGGTCACGCACCACCACCCACACAATCAAGAAAGAGCTCTCAATCTGTCAATCCTCACTGTGTCAGGGCCGGGTGAGTTTCCCCGTGTTGAGTCAAATTAAGCCGCAGGCTCCACTACTGGTGGTGCCCTTCTGTCAATCCCTTTACGTTTCAGCTTTGCAACCGTACTTCCCACGGAACCCAAAGACTTTGGTTTCCCGAAGACTGCCCGCCGCGTCATTGGAGTAACGCCGGCAGATGGCCATTCGGCATCGTTTTGGTTAGAACTAGAGCAGTATCTGATCGCCTTCGAACCTCTAACTTTCGTTCTTGATTAATGTAAACATTCTTTGCAAATGCTTTTGCAGGCGGTTTTCTTGCGGCGATCCAAAAATTTCACCTCTCACACCGCAATACGAATACCCCTCTCAGTCCCTCTTAATCATTACCTCGAGTTCCGAAAATCAACGCAATAGAACCGAGGTCCTATTCCATTATTCCATGCTCTGCTGTCCAGGCGGTCGGCCTGCTTTGAAAAATCCATTTTTTTTTCAAAGTAAACGTTCCGGCCGCTTTCGGCACTCAGTCAAGAGAACCGGGCGGAGACCGAGAGGAAGGCCAGGCGGGCAGTGGTGTGCCTTGCGGCGGACCGCCAGCCTGCGCCCAAGATCCAATACGAGCTTTTTAACTGCAGAAATTTGAATATACGCTATTGGAGCTGGAATTGCTGCGTCTGCTGGCACCAGACTTGCTCTCCTATAGATCCTGGTTAAAGGATTTCAAGTGTACTCATTCCAGTGACAGGGCCTCGGAAGAGTGCTGTATTGCTATTTTTCGTCACTACCTCCCCGTATCGGGAGTGGGTAATTTGTGCACCTGCTGCCTTCCTTGGATGTGGTAGCTGTTTCTCAAGCTCCCTCTCCGGAATCGAACCCTGATTCTCCGTTACCCGTTACGACCATGGCAGGCGCATAACGTACCATCGAAAATTGATAGGGCAGACATTCGAAGGATCCGTCGCCCTAGCAAGGACCGTGCGATCGGCCAGGTAATCCAGAGTTCACCAACAGAGCTGGGACGGGCCCTGGTTGGTCTTTTTCCTAATAAGAGCACGCCTCCCGTAAGGTCGGCGCTTGCTGGCATGTATTAGCTCTAGAATTACCACAGTTATTCATGTAGGGGGAACCGTAACGGATTGAATGAGCCATCCGCAATTTTGCTTGGTAAAGCTTTTGCTGAGCCATTCATGGCTTAATCTTTGAGACAAGCATATGACTACTGGCAGGATCAACCAGGTATCCCTCGGGGCCAGGGCCCGCACCTCGGGCCCTCCTGACTGCTCGGCCAAGCAGCGGCTGCCGGGCCGCGGCGCTGGAGTCCTGCCCGTCTCTGTATTCGCTTGCCGCCCGGCCTCCGCTCCCTCCGGCCCGCCGCCGGTCCCTCGCCCACTCCGGCCCAGGCGGCACTTCCTCTCCTTCCGCGGGCGCGCGGGTGGCCGCTGGAATGCCGCCCGCCGCCTGGTGCGCCGGTCTCCTCTCGCCTTGATCCTGCAGGGGGTGGCCAGAGCAGCCGGGAGGCTGGCTCGGCTGAGCTCCCTCCGTCAGGGAGGTCCCCGGTCGGGGATCTTGCCCCGAGGCGGCAGCTCGGCGGGACCGCAGGGCGGGCCGGTCCCTCCGCTCCGCGGAAGGTGCTGGGCCGTTCCGGCCGTCGCAGATATTGCTGCTTCGGGGCAGCGGTGAGCCCGCCGCTCTCCAAGTGACCCTGGCTCCCCTCTCCCTCGCTCTCTCCCGCTCGCTCGTCCCCAGCGGGCCGGGCTGCCGCTCCAGCCCCTCCCGAAGGCTTGTGGCCACGTACCACCGCACCTTCCGTCCCGGGTCCGGCAAAACTGCGCCCCCGGGAACGGCCTTTCCGACACCTTTCGGCAAGGCCGGGCGGGCAAGGCCGACGCTCTTCTGGGCATGAAAGGTCGGCTGGCCGCGCCGAAAAAGCCGTTGACGGAGCACCCGCAGTGCCTCCTGGCGGGGCGGCGAGCCGCCACTTTTTCCGCACCTTCCGTCCTGGGGCTCTCCGGTAGGGCCGGCCGCGGCCCGGGAACGGCCTTTCCGACTCCTTGCGGCAAGGCCAGGCGGGCCGGCCGACGCTCTTCTGGGAATGAAGGGTCGGCTGGCCGCGCCGAAAAACACCGTTGACGGAGCGCCCGCAGTGCCTCCCGGCGGGGCGGCGAGCCGCCATTTTCGTCGAGCCGCTCCCAGAGCGGGGCTTGTCCAGACCCCCGGGGGGATT